CAACTGAGCAAGCCTGCCATAGGCTCCCAAGATGCTTTGGGCCCTTTTCTCTTCTGCCTTCTCTACAAGTCTGTGGACTTTGCCTAGGGTCAGTTCTGACTTTTGAGCCCACTGTCCTCCTGAGACTGGGGTCAGTGCTCAAGACTCAACGTCTGTCAACATAGGCTGAGCTGGTTTCCCAGGGCAGGACTTCTGCTACTTGATCTGGTTCAGACTAAACTCTCTAAGAATACTGGTGGCCTGGGCCTTGTTCTTGGGTGCCTAGTTTGGTCATTTAGGTGTTGAGAGTGGGGAGGGATCCTCTAGTGGGATTTCGATAGAAGGACTGTATCTGCCACCGGACCAAAGTCCAGCCAAAGCCCAACAAGCTGTCATTCCTCTTTCTACCCAAGTCTTTGAATGAGAGTTAATGTGTATGGTGTGTGCATGTGTTTAGCATTAAGATAGAGGAAAATAGTAGCTCTTATTTCCTGGTGAGATAAAGGGTTTAGACGCAGAATAAAATAATCAGTGCTTGGTTGATCTGTTGATTTCCAAGTTCTTGTGAAGACAAGTAAGAAGAGAGAAGTATCCCTGGTCTGAGGTGAGTGCTTTTCCCACTTGCAGGGGGAAACAAGAATTTGCTCTAAGCAGACATAGAGCATTGCTGTGATGTGCTAAAAATGGAGGGACCCAGTCCCTGCTAATAATGTTTAGCCCCTTGTAACAGTTAGGGATTGGGTCTGGTTGCTAGTAATAGAACAACCCAACTTAGGATAGCATCATCAAATTGGGTTTTAGTTTCCTCACATAACACGAATCCAGAGGTAGTTAGTCCAGGCTGGTATAGTAGCTCCCTGATGCCATCAGGGATCTGGGCTCTTTCTCACTTTCTACCCAGGTTTTAGCGGGTGTTTTGTCACCTTGCAATCCAGCATAGAGTCTAAATTCCAGGCAGAAAGAAGGGAAGGGTTAGCTAAGCCAGCTAAGTGTGACTTTTAAAGACTTTCCTGGAAGACCCACCCAGCAATTTCTGTGTACATCTTAACATCTTCTTGGCCAGATCTAAGTCACATGGTCACCCTTAGCTCCAAGGGAGGTTGGGAAATGTGACTTTTTGCTGGATACATTGCCATTTAGAAAAACTTGGGGTAAGGAAGAGGGAGAGAATAGATATTGGTAGTCAGCACATGTGTATTTGAGGGCATGCTGTGCACTGTCTCCTTTAGTCCTCACTACAGTCCAAAAAAGTGGGGGTTGTTGTCCCCATTTTGCAGATAGGTAACCTGAAACCAGAGAAGTAAGAGACTTGCTTAAGGTCACCCAGCTTGTATTGGGTGGGATCAACCCTTGAATCCAGGTCTGACTGGCTCTAAACCCTCTGTCCACTGGGTTTGACACATTTGGCCCAAAATGGTCACTGAATGCCGAGAATTCCCTGTGACTTTGAATAGTCACTGAGTCCAGGTGCTCACAGTAATAGCAGTGACCTGCACTGGAAAGTCTTGTGTCATCTTAGCTAAATATGTATACCCTACATGGCCAACTTCTCTGAATGACACAGTCATTGAGAGCTGAGGGGTGTTTCATTCTTTCCCAGCATTATGCTAAATCGAGCGTTGCAAATCAATTTTGTGACAGGTCTCCTGATTTGAGAAGTTGGTTGTTAAATTGTAGGGAATGCAGGGAGATGGGGGAAAACCAGAAAACATTATTGCCTCAAATCCTGTATCTTAGTAAGTTAACTGTTTAAGTCAGTTAAGATGGGGAAGTAGAGGACATTACCTTCATCTTTCTTACCTACAGCCATAGCCTGAGTTATTTTGGGCACAAAGGTGTCTTTTTTTTTTTTAAAGAATTTATTTATTTGAGAGAGAGAATGAGATAGAGAGAGAGCATGAGAGGGGGGAGGGTCAGAGGGAGAAGCAGACTCCCTGCTGAGCAGGAAGCCCGATGTGGGACTTGATCCCAGGACCCTGGGATCATAACCTGAGCCCAAGGTAGTCGCTTAACCAACTGAGCCACCCAGGCGCCCGGGCACAAAGGCATCTTATGTAAGTCCCAGCAGTCAGAGACCAAGAGTTGTTCATAATCCCGTTTGAGGGCCTGGAAGGCTGCCAGGTGCCAAGCAGACTACCATTTTTTTAGCCACCCTCTTAAGGCTTATTTTGCAGTAAATGGTGGTGTTAATCTGAGAAAAGGATTGGTCGTTCTCTATCAACTTTATCATCAGGATGTAGTAGCATATGTGAGGGTGTGTATATCATATGTACACACATAGTAAAGACTAAGATTTGTAGTTATAAATTAGCTCCAAGGTGAGAAAAGACTGGAAAGCTCCACGATTTGTGGTCAGTTAATGAGAACGGTATTAAATGTGGTTACCATGATTAAATCGGGCTTTAGGGTTGTCTGGCTTTGATGGCAGAGACCGTTTTCTCTGCTACTTTCTTATAACTCCAACTGCCCACCCCAGTGGGGATAAATGGTTGCTCAGTAAATACATGGAGGTTGATTGGTAAAGAAAGGAAAATCCCCATTACAGTTGGTTGGGCTGAGGCATCATACCCATAGTCCTTGGTTTCTGGAGTTGAGGAAACCCCCTTTTCCTTTTAGTTCTAATGTCATGTATATAGGTGGCATGTTTGTTTCACAACCTGGTTTTTGTGACTTATCGTTGGGATGGTAATAACAAGGAGGGACAGTTACTTAGGTCTCACAGTTGGAGTAACCGGGTTATCAAGCTTCGGTGACTTGGCTGGGGTGTGACCCAGAGGGCAGCCAGAGCTCTAGTTCCCTAGGCAGCAGCCTTAGCACAGCCTCCCTGAAGGGTTTCCCAAGTTTGAGAAACAGTAGAGAAGATAAAGGCCAACTTAGGCAACCTGAAGACTACCGGTTGGGGTTACACTGGTGCAGTTATGGAGGATTGAAGAAAGGACAAAGTTAAAACCTGTAATGTACACTGTGGGCAAGAGTTGTTCCTTAATGAACGTACAGTAAGAATTGTCTTTTCTTAAAGTCTAGCCCCTGAATATTTCCCATATATTCCCACTACTGGAGCTTATAGACCAACTGGACATTAGGAATGGAAGGGCCCTCAGAGATCACAATCTAAATATATCATTATCAAATGATGTAATAGGACTCCTTCCACTAAAAGTAACAGAGACCAAACTCAAAGTAGCTTAAGTGAGAAAGAGAATTTATTGGTTCACAAGCAAAAAGTCCAAGGATATATCTGGTTTAGGTATGGCTAAATCTCAGAGCTCAGGCCAAGTTTCTAGGATGCTGTTTCTCTCCATCTGCTTTCCTTGGTGTTGGTTTCATTTTCAAATAGTTGATTCCCATTTAGTTATAGCAGTTCGAGACCACCTCCAACCAAAGCCCCAGAACCAACTCTGACGGACTTGGAATAGGTGATGTGTTGCCCCCCGAGCTAATCGTTGAGACTGGGAGCCTCAGCTGGACAGGGACTAGTGGTCAGCAGCACCCAAACCATATGGACTGGGAGTGGGGGAGGTGATCCCCAAATGAAAATCGAAATGCTGAAATTGATTTTTTTTTTTTTAAACAAAGCTTTGGATTTTCATGGAAAAGTCAGGAGAGTGCATGGACAGTGAGATATGTGATTGCTTTTCTTAGGGGTTATATTGTTACTTTACATTGATATTTTAACTGTCTTCGGGACTGGATTGATTCTGCCCTGAGTCTGTGCTGATTATTGGTAGCTGAGGTTCCTAGGTTGTTGTAAGGATGCCTGGGGTGTGGCCACTCAGATGTAAATGCAGCAGCGTTTCCATTGTATGCTTTCATGTTGAAATGGAGAGCTTGGCCATCTGAGGAGTGACAGATCTCAAGGCCAGGACCTTTTTACCAAAGGAAACTGGCTGCCCCAGCCAAGGATCCTTGGGAATTTTCTGGTCTTTCTGGGCTGGGCTGGAGTGTGTTCTCCTGCCTCCTCAGTCTAAATTCTGCAAAGCCTATGGAGCTGCTGCTCTGTCCCTGGTACCAAGTAATGGGGATGTAGATGTAACTAGGATCCTGCCCTGAGGAAGGAGGGTGGGGTAGAAAGGTTTTACAGGAGGAGATAGGCCATGAAAGAGGAGTCCTTCTTGATGCCCCCAGAAGTTGCTCCTCTGGCCTCCGTTCACAAGCTGAGCGGTGGCCCCCGACCCATTCTCCTTTACAGTTTCTAGCTCTGCACATAAGTAGGCCATCTCACACATGCAGAGGTGCAGTGGGAACCAGATGGGCTCTGTAGCACTATGGTCTTGGGCAAATCATTTATCTACTCTGTGCCTCAGTTTCCTTATCTCTAAAATCTGACTAGTGATACTTCAGAGGATTATTGTGTTCTTGTGTGTTCCTGTTTGAGCAGTAGGTAAGAGGTCATCTAAAGAGGTTGCTGAGCCTGTTCATTCTCTGCTCAGCATCTTGGGGGAATGTTAATTATGTGCTAATTGTCCTTTGGGCTATGCTAGATGCCAGTGGGAGAGACCCTGGGCTCAGGAGCCTTCTATCCAAGCTGGACTGCCCCAGACAGATGGACATAGAGCAAAAGGGAAAGGCATGAGATTGTCACGTGTATCATTTATTCATTCAGTAGTATTTATAAAGCACCTACTCTATACCAGTCATTGCACAGAAGTTCTGGGCATATTGTAATTGGCCACATGGGCCTCTGGCCTGAGGGAACTCATGGTCTACTTGGGCGTTAGATGAGTAAGCACAGTTATGGTCCAGTGTGGTTAGGGTGACGGTGGAGTCAGCTAAGGTCCCAATCTAGAGTGGGAGTATGTGACTGGAGTGGCTTCCTAGAGGAGGTAACATGTAGGCCAGGTCCCAAAGGAGTAGAAGTCAGGCAGGAAGAATGAGGGACTAGGTGTGAAAGGTATTCCAGGCGGAGGGAACAGTCCATGCAAAGGCCTGGAGGAAATTCGAGTATGGAGTGTGTTCTTTGGGGAGTCTTGGCTGCCCGTGGTGCTGTCTGGAATGGGCTGAATGTGCCTCTGTCATTGCAGGGATGTGGAGAAAGTGGAGCGGCAGGCGGTCCCCCAGGCCAACCACACCGAGTCCTGTCGAGAGTGTGGCCGCGTGGGACCTGGACATGCGAGGGATTGTCCTCTTCGAAGCCATGAGGATTCCTTTGGCTTTGAGAGGCGGGAGCAAGAGGAAGAACGGTACCGTTCCCAGAGGGACCCACTGGAGGGCAAGCGGGACAGGAGCAAGGCCAGGTCCCCATACACACCGGCTGAGGAGGACGCCTTGTTCGTGGATTTACCTGGTGGCCTGAGAGGCCAGCAAGCACAGCCCCAGCGGGCAGAGAAGAATGGGGTGCTGCCCGCCGTGTATGGCCCAGGAGAGCAGAACGGGACCGGCGGGTATCAACGGGCCTTTCCTCCCAGGAACAATGCTGAAAAGCACAGCCAGAAGAAGAACAGCCTGGCCCAGGTGGAGCACTGGGCGAAAGCCCAGAAGGGGGACGGCAGGAGGTCAGTAATGGACTCAGGGTGGCTGCTACTCATGAGCGTAATAACGTAATAGGAGCTATCATTGTCCCGGCATGTGCTGGGGACATGCAGGCCTTAAACTATCCACCTCCATTAGCTCCGTAAATTCCTGTAGCAACGCTGCAAGGTGGGGGTGATATCCCCAAGTTATAGACAAAGAAACTGGGGTTTGGAGAAGTGAAGGGACCTGCCCAGGGCACACAGTAAGTGGCAAAGGCAGAGTGCAACCCCAGGTCTGTGAACCTCCCAAGCCTGTGTGAGATTACATCAGGTGGCTTCTTGGTTCCCCGGCAAAGGTGCCTTGAGACACAGTCAGTATGTCGATAGTTGCTCATCTTCTCTCACTCCGCTACTTTTCCACGTCCGGGAAATATTTGTAGAAACTAGAGTAAATACAGATCCATTTTCAATTCCAGGCACAAAGAGAAGTGCTTAGGCACTGTTGACAGTAGGCTTTATCATACCTATTCCTTCAAGAAGCAGTTTTTAATTATTTAGGGGGCATACAGTTTTTGCTATTTGCAAAGCACTGTTTGTATTTTATTACAATTTTAGATTAATAAGGGCACTTTTCTGAACGTGAAGAATTCAGGGTCACCGGCTTCCCCCATTTTCTCCAGACGCCGCTGTGTTTTGTCCTCCTTATGAAGACAGTAAATCGTTTCATCATATTTGGGCTTCTAAAACCAACCACTGACTGGAGAAGAGATAGCGAAGCCCTGGTGCTTTCAGAAAGCTCCCCGGGGACTAGAGGGGCTACAGATGTGCCAGAGCTCAGGCCAAGTCTGCCACAGACTTACCTGCCTGATAAACGTGTTCTAAAAACCACACTACATTCTCCCTGTTGGTGGAGCCCAGACTTTCCCCCCGTGGGCTGTGGAGGCAGGAGTGCTCCTACAGGAATAGCCTCGGCCTCTTTCCAGGTGTGTGGGCATGCTGTGTGTATATGCAGGTGGTGTAACCTCTTTAATCTGGTCTAGGTGGGCAGTTGTGAGGGTAGATGGATGGAGAAATTACAATGGAAATCCCCCAGTGAATTGGTAGACATTGTTGTGGGACAGACTAGGAAAAGGAAGGCTTTTGTGGTGTAGCTAAGATACCTTCCCATTCCCACCTAGGACTGACCAGGTGTCAATTCCATTTGTTCAAATGTTGTGTCTTCTTAAAAAACAGAAAGCTACCTCCCAGGGACACGGGGGAGAGAAGCTTCTATTCTTGGTGCTGGGCTGGGTAGACCCCCCCGGGAGGTGATTCTAAGTGCCCTCACTGCTGAACGAGGTTGGAAAGCCGGCAGGCATTATATCATGCAGGTCTCCTACTTCAAGGTAAAACAATTTGGATTTTATTTGAAAAAGCAATAGGGGAAGCCAGTGGAAAGTTTGAAGCAGGTAAGTGATGTAATCTGATTAATAATTCAGGAAGAAGAGCCCTGGGAAGATGCTGTTGTAATAATTCAGGATGGTAACAATGGAAATAGAAAGAAAGAGAACGATTTGAGATACATTTTGGAGGTCAAAACATCAAAGTTTGTTAATGAGTGGGATGCTCAGGATGAGAGAAAGGGAGGAACAAGGATGATCCCTGGAGTTTTGACTTGAACAACCAGGTGGTTGCTGAGACGGGGAAGGTTTAGGACCAGATTGGGGGGAAATCAGGGTTCCCATTTTGGACAGTAAGTTTGAGAAGCCTATTAGCTATCCAAGGGGAGATGTCAGGTAGACAGTTGGGTATGAATTATGGTGTTGGGGTTTGAGGTCTGGTTGGGAACAGTCAGCACATAAATGGTACCTCAACACTTACAAGGTAGCAGCAGAAGGGGGATCTGGTAGAGGAGACAGTGTGGTCAGAGAGAAGCTACTCATGATAAGTTAGCTGTTTTCTCTTACATGTCACACCTCCTAGGAACTGTAGTCAATATGGGCAGGCAAGGGCAGGTAAAAGCAGGAGAAATTAGAAGTAGGGGAAGATAGGAAAGCCAGGGGTTTAGCTCAGATGAGCTTGTATTTCTTGCTAAAGAGTTTGGATTTAGTCTTGGAGGCCTGTGAAAGCCATCGATGGTCTGAAGGGTATTGGCAGGAAAGAGGCGTCGGGACACCTGGGGAGATTTTGCAGGCTAGACAGTCCTTACTACATCCCAGCTCTGATACAGCAGGTCCATGTATATGGTGAAGAAATCTGCCAGGTGCTTCTGATGTGCCCTGCCCCAAATGCGAATGGTAGTTTTGGTTACCCCTCACTCTTAAAAGTTTTTTTTTTTTTAATTATGCACGTAGTTTAAGGATTTAAGTAGTGTGGCCCCCATCTGTCCCTACTTCTGATTTCTGTCCCTTTGAGGCAGCCACTTCCAATTCTTCCAGTAGTTTTCCCAATTTATTTCTGTATTTCCAAATAAGATAATTACACTGCACTTTCTTGATTTTACAATTTTAGTTATCAATAGACATTCTACTGTAGAAGATAAGGATTGAAGTCTCTTGTTCTCCGCTGTGCCTTTCCAATAGACATACGCTTACCTTTATCCTAGCTTCACAATATAGCATATTTTTTGTACAGATCACTAGTCAGTTTTTATATTATTATGACAATATAAATATTCACAACTGGACCATAGTGTTCTATAATTAAATTTCATTTGTTGAACAATTTTTTGTTTTCTGATGTTAATTTTCACGCTTGTGGTTTACTTGGTTTTCTTTGTACCAATTATTAATTTCATCACCAAATTCATAGCTACATGTGCAAATCTCCCTTTGCTCAGTGCCCCCAAATATTCAGTAATTCACTCACAAAGTAAAAAAAAAAAAAAAATCCAAATACCAAAGGATAAATATTGAAAAATAAGGGTCCTTCTACTTTATTTCGGAAACCTACTTTCACTCCCTAAAGACCAGCAACCTTGTTAAGAAAAATAAACCCTGTCCTTCACCTTGCTTTTTTCACTTAATGTATCAGTGTATGTGCAAGTCTATACATAAATAGCTGAATGTATCTTGGCTGTCTTTCCGTATGAGCACATATAGACATATATCATTAATTTGAAATAACCAGAGTACTCCATTGAATGGATCTACAGTGGTATTTATACCATTCCCTATTGATGGGCAGTAAGGTTGGTTACAAACATTTGCTATTACAAACTATGCTGCAGTGAATATCCCTACCCCGTTCTCTCTGCATAAAGTGCATGTATACTTAAAGAACAGATTACTTGAAGTGGAGTGACTGGGTCAAAGGATATATGCCATTTTAATTATCATAGTTATTACAAAATTGCCCTCCAAAAACACTGTTTCAGTTTATATCCCACCCAAAGTGTCCTTATTTGTCCATTCCCACATTAGCATGGAAAACTGTTTCAGATTAACTCCTTCCTCCAGTGATAATATGGAAGATGATTTAGATGGAGAAGAGCCTGGAAAGAGGCAATGATCGAGTATAAGGTGGTCATAGCTTGGGTAGAATGTGGGGAAGACCCACACCAAAGCAGTGAAGATGATGAGGATTTTGAGGAGGATGGGTAGGACACACAGATACTGAGGTTGGGTAGGTATTAGAATTGGTAAATTGTTTCATCGAGGTCAGGAAGGTGAGAAGGGCCACAGGTGGAGCTGACATTTAGCAGTTTGGCTTGGTTAATAGGAAGATGTGGTACAGCCTGGATGTCAGGAGTTTTAACAAGACACCCCTCCCTGCCTCCCATGTGATTCTGATGTGCAGCCAGGCTGGAGAATCCCAAGCTCAGAGTGAGCCATAGCAGAGGGCCAAAGGCAGAATGCTGAGGACCTCCAGCCCAAGGGATGGACAAAAGCAGTGTCTGTGAAGGGTGTGAGCAGGAGATGGGGGGGAGGGTGGAAACTGGAGTGTTGAAGGGAGTTTCATTTAGAAGGAGTCCAGTTTGTGCTGGGAATGAGGACTTCTCCTTGGGGATGGTGCCATCCGAGGAGGCTGGGAGCCACTGAAAGAGTGTCTGGAACCTCAAGGTCTCTGCTGTCTTTTGCTCGGTCACTGGGGCTTCTTGATGGGCTTACATGGGCAGACCTGACTGTCCTTTTTAGTAGAGCTAGGATTTTGAAGTTAGGTCAGGAGGCAGGAGAGGAAGACAGGAACAAGTCAGAAAAGGTCACATGGCCAGTGAGAAACCCTTTGTGGCAGGGGCACAGAAAGAACTTTCTTTTTTTTTTTTTTTCACAGAACTTTCAAAAGCTGTGTGACTGATAATGCAGTTAATAAGTTGTTGGTTGAAATGTGTCTATGTAACTGCTTCTGGCAGTCCACAAACCTGTGTTACTCTGCTATACACAAGGACCTGTAGTTGGGGCTCGGGGGCACATAGGGGAGCTAAAGGATGATAAGTCAGTTGCAAGTAGATGACAGGGCTGGGGAAAGCGTTGTTGGACTTTCCTTGCATATGAGCTGGAAGTTTGAGGCTTTCTTGTCTAAGGGGCAAGGTGACATGAGGTCTGTAGATGAAAACAGTTCATTGGCCTTGGAGGTCACTGAGCGCACAGCAAGAGGAACTTCACTCTAGTGATGGAAGCAGATCTCACTGGGCTGAAAGGGAAAAGTGAGGAATTGAAGACACCCTTTTGAGAAGAAAGCTGTCTGTCGCTGAGTAAGCCAAGTGCAGTCTCTGATCATTCACTTGTATCTGGAAAGGACTGCATCTTGCATTCTCAGAATTGCTGTTTACCTTAAAGGTATATATGTAATCTCTTACAGTCAAGTAATAAGTAGATCTGGCTGTTTAATGAAGGAGCCTCCAACATTTGAAAGTACAAAAGAGGGATGTCTGTGCTTTGTGTGATTGAGACTGTGCCAATCTCGTTAGATTGGGCACATTAGACATTGGAAGGAGGGTTATTTGCACTGTAATATGATCTCATATTCGTGGAGCTAGGCCACATAAGAAATTATTTCTAACTGTTCCTTTAGTACTGGAGATATGTATTCTGTTTCCCATCATTAAACTCCTTTAGAATGATATTTTGTGAGGACAGACTGGCTTACCCTTAGATTTCTACATTCTAAGAGATTGTTTTGAAATTCTAGCCTTCCATTTTTTGCCCCTGGTATTTCAAGTAATTTACATACTTGTAATAAAAAGGCAGGGGTGGGGATGGAATCAAGGACTCAGCTATTACAATGAGGGACAGAGTAGAAAGTGAAAGTCCTGCACAATTGATGTGGAGGGTACGGTGAGGAATATCTGCTGCATAAGTAATTGGTTATAGAAATTGATTTTATATTTTGATATGACCAGTTTGTAGTGGCTGTATCAGAATATCCTGTTTGGTGCCTTTTGGAACAGGGAGGCCCCTTGGCACAGAGCAGGGTATGAGGGCAGGAGACCTGGAACTTTCTTTTTGGGTAAAGATGGATTTGGGGGCCAGCAAATGGATCTGCTCTCAGGGGCAAAGCTGCTCTGGGTGCTCCTGCCTATTTCAGGGGGGTCTTTACCTCTTCTTGCAAACCTTCCTCCTGCGTCCCTCACTCCACCTTTGGTTAGTTATCTTGGTTTGGCCTCTGGAGCTCACCATTGCACTGGGATTTTGGGGGTTGCCCCAAAATGGCCAGCAGTGAGGACTTGGAGATATGGCAGACAATGCAGAAGTAGAGGGCACAGGCTGGAGGGTGAGCTCAGGGCTTTAGGGCCCCACCCTGTGGGGGACTTTTGTCAGGGTGGCAGGCACCGGGAGCAGGCTACAGAACCAGACTGAGGGGATTTGGGAGCAGCTAGGACATACTTTTCATAGTCTGAATTTTTCTTCAGCCAGAGTGAACAATGGTTGGTGAAGTCATGGAGTCCCCAGGGGAGGCCCCCAGCCAGGTTTCTGCCTTTGCCACCACTGCTGTTTGAGGATTCAGCCACTGCCCCTTCCTCAGACACACATTCCCCTCTGACTTTGGGAAATCAGTAGCAAACCCTGCCACCTAGTGGCAAATAGACACGCTAGCCAGACACACTAGACAAGTCTGGCTGAAGAGATCTTAAAAATTACCTCCCATAATTGCAAAGATAACAATAAGAAGAAAGCTACCATTTTTGAATGACAACTATTTCTAATCCCCACAACAATCTGTTAGGTTCTTAGTATCCCCATGTTATAGTAGGGAGGGTGAGGACATAAAAGACACTTACGAGGTCATAGAGGGAAGTGATTAAATGAGATGAATTTAAGAACAATTAGAATAGCACTTCTCAAACATTGGTCACCTGGAGGGCTTGTTAGAACACAGGAGGCTGGGCTCTACCCCCAGGGTTTCTGACTTGGCAGATCTAGGGTGGGGCCCAATAATCTGCATTTCTAATGAGTTCCCAGGTGGTGCTGATGCTGCCCATCCAAGACCATACTTTGGATGCACTGGCTTAGAACAGTGGCTGGCTGGTTATGCATCAGGACTTTGTCAGACTGTGGACAATACCGCAGAATGTGAGACATAGTTCCTGCCCTCTGAGGATTTACAGCTTGGCTGGGGAAGAGATGTCTTGCAAGGATGAAAAGGTTGCATCAATGAAAAGACCTTGGACAAGTTTCCTACAACATAATAACTAGGTCAGAGCAGAGTGGGAGCCCTGAGGGCTGCAGAAGGCCTCTCTGGAAGGAGTGCCGTGGAAAATGAGTGAGATTTGGGTGAATAGGGCAAGTGGAGCCCATACAGGTAGGGGAAGGCAGAACAATATTAGAATAAGGAGAGGTAGAAAGGGAGAACCCATTGAGAAGTACCTTCTGTGCATCAGGCAGGGAGCCTGCATTTTCTTACTTGTCTCATTTACTCTTCAGAACAGCCTTATGAGGGAGATAATTCTGTCCTCATGCTACAGGTGAGGAAGCTGAGGCTCAGAGCAGTCCAGTAAGCTGCCTAGGGTCATCTAGCCAGTGTGGATGGTAGAGCTAGCAATCAAACCCAGGTCAAGCTCTCTCTGTTTTCCCACTCTGAGAAGTTGCCCAGGTGTGTAGGAGGCTGGGTGGGATTAGGGTGAGGCTCTCATCCCTAGATCCCAGCAAGTGCAGGGGTGCACCTGAGTGGATGTGTCTCTTTAGCCCCTAGATGCTTGACTTGCCCCAGCCCAGTCCTGTTGGAGAAGCAGTGAGAAAACAGCAGGACTGCAAGGTGGGTTGGGATCAGGTGCTAGAGAGTGGTGCGTTCCAGGCTGAAGGGTTTCAATTTTATTTCATAAGCAGTGGGGAGTCATTGACGTTTTTGGAGCAAGGGAGTGATTGGATCTAAGCAGTTGACTGTGTTCAGTGTGGACACTGGTTAGGAAGGTCTCAGAGCGACCTGGGGGAAGATGATTAAATCATCTGGTCTAGAGTAGTAGAAAAAGAAAAGAGCTGGTGCCAGCCACTTGCTTTAAGAACTTGCAGAATTCGATGTGTGGATACCAACAGAGGGCAAGTCTCAGTGACCGGGGAATTATGAGGCGTTTCCTAGAAATAGACACACACCCATTTGGAAGAGCTGACTGACAGCGAGAGGGAGAGGAGGAGACGGGTTTCATCACCTTGCACTTGAAGCGATGGGTGTGGGGCAGTCAGGCTGCCTGGTAGGGAGGGTGATGCTCCCAGGTTGTTGGAGAACAACGGTGTTGGAGTCCTCTGCATAGGGAGGGAGTGACTGAGGTCCTGAGCATCTGCTTTGATTGTTCTTTGGGGGTTCTTACATAGGGCTCCCTCGTGTGCCTGGCGCTGAGGGTTTACTTAGCCGTGTTTCCAGAAGCCTGGCAGACCCCGTGCTGGCTGTCTTAGCCGTCTTCTTCCTCTCTCCGCAGCCTGCCCCTGGACCAGACCCTTCCTCGTCAGGGTCCTAGCCAGTCACTGTCCTTCCCAGAAAACTACCAGACTCTGCCTAAGAGTTCCCGACATCCCTCAGGGGGCTCCTCGCCCCCTCCCCGCAACCTGCCGAGTGACTACAAGTACGCGCAGGACCGAGCCAGTCACCTGAAGATGTCGAGCGAGGAGCGCCGGGCGCACCGGGATGGCACAGTGTGGCAGCTCTACGAGTGGCAGCAACGCCAACAGTTCCGGCACGGCAGCCCCACGGCGCCCATCCGCGCCGGCTCCCCGGAGTTCACCGACCAGGGCCGGAGCAGGAGCATGCTGGAGGTGCCCCGCTCCATCTCTGTGCCTCCATCTCCCTCCGACATCCCTCCTCCGGGCCCCCCAAGGGCCTTCCCGCCCCGGCGGCCGCACACGCCAGCAGAGAGGGTCACCGTGAAGCCCCCGGACCAGCGGAGGAGCGTGGACATCTCACTGGGGGGCTCTCCCAGGAAGGCACGGGGCCATGCCACCAAGGTGAGACTCTGGAGGGCTGCCAGGCAGCTGGGTTCAGTGTGAGGGCACCAGGACCCTCACGTGGTTTGAACACAAATTTGAGCAATTTCGAATAAGGAGAGGTGACATCTCTGTGGTACTTTTAGGTGCCAGGTGCAGTACTAAATGATTACCACAACCTGATGAGGCAGGTGCTATTATCATGCACATTGCACAGATGAGAACTCTGAGGCATTAAGAGATGAAGGATCATCCAGCTGGAGGTCTGCAGGAAGAGATATCTGTGTTCAGTCGGTTCAGTAATTTATAATAACCCGACTTCAGCTTTACCTCTCCAAGGGACTTTCCCAGTTTACCATTGTTTATAACCCAGTAAGAAAGACATGGACCCCCCACAGATGAAGAGGGGTAGTGCGTGTGGCAGGCCGCCCGTGCAGAGAGGGGCAGAGGCTCCGGCCCACAGGCTGACTTCCTGTCTCCCCCCTTGTAGAACTCCTCTCACGTGGATCGCCGCTCCATGCCCTCCATGGGCTACATGACCCACACAGTCAGCGCTCCCAGTCTCCATGGAAAATCGGTAAGCCGCTCCTCATCTCCCCCGCCCCATGAGTATCAACCACCTGCAAAGTGCCGGCTCAGCCGGTGTCCCCCCCAACCCTGAGCCAGTCACCTGCAGTCTGCAGGGCAGCTGTCAGCTCCCACGTTAGAGATGAGGATGCTGAGGCTCAGAGAAGTCCAGTGACTTGCTCCATGTCATCCAGCTGACTTGGGGTCCTCCCCAGATCAGAGGAAGAGCTTGGGGGAAGTGAAGGAGAATGTGGGCTTTTCTTCTCTTTCAGGTAGCGTTTTCCAGGCACCTGCCTTTCTGCCATTAGCTCCTCTCCTCTCATCCAGGTCTTGGCTTTGGTTAGTTAACTTTGTCTTCAAAGCTTGAGTCGGGGTGAGGTTGCACTGTTGGTTGCTGTTTCCTGGAGAAAAAAAACAAAAACCTGCTTCCTGCAACCCCTTTTCTGCCAGTGCCTTTATTTATCCTAATGACAGAATTAATGCAATAATTACTTAATGGTGTCACATCAGTGCTGTCCCAGCACCGGGGTGAAGAGTAATTATAGTGTCGTGCTCCTGCAGTGGCTAATTTCCTTGTGATGTGTCTACACACCTGCAGCTGGAGGAGCTCTCGCTGCTTCTCACCCGCTTACGGCGGCACCAGGCCAGGTTGGCCAGCGTGCGAAATCTCGCCGTCGGCCAGTTACTGCAGCACCAGCTGACTGTTCCCGCCTGCCAGGTCAGCGCTGCCGGGCTCTCTCAGGGCCGGGGCCACCCTAGTGGGGGGCAACGGAGTGACGTGCCAGCCCATGTTTTCTCGTGCCCACGCTCTAGTCTGTATTTGTTGTCTGGCTCGTTCCCTCCTTCCCTGCCTGTTTGCTTCTGGTCGCTATTGCCAGATACTGCGCAGTGGTGGGGGGCCCACGCCTCTTGGTGCTGGGGAGGAGCCTGCATGTGGTGTGAGGGACCTCAACTGTGGCTTTTCCGGCTGTGAGTAGTGACTGCCAGGCTGATGTGTGGTCATGTCTGAAGGGCTATGCTGGCTGTCATCCTTGTCGCCACCATGGCCATCCTTGGGTTGTGGAAAGGTGTGTTTCATTGGTGTCAACCCGGAGGGGAGAGGCAGGGTGCCCTCTCTGATCTGGACAGTACCCTGCTGATGGAAAAAGCATCCTCACGTCCCTTATCCTAGAGAACCTCACTGTACCTGGGAGAGGTTAGGCAGGCCAGGAGTTACTACCACACACAACACACTGGATCCAGAGGGGGAAATGACTTGCCTGGGATCCCTCAGCCAGTGGCATGTGGCCTGGAACCAAAATTCAGGTCCTATCTGGCATAGTGTTCTAAACCTTACGGGACATGGAGGTTTGCAGGCAATTTCCTCAAGTAGTGGTCAGGGAATTGCCCTCCCAGGCATGTTGAGCAGTTTAACGATGTCCATACAAGATTGGTCCCTTCGGGCTGCACAAAAGTAGGCAGGGGACAGAGGAGGAAGATGACAGGAGTGTCACCTTCCTTAATTGTCCTGTTTTAGTGAGACCTGAGGGACAATATACTTGGAAAAATGAATGTAAGGGAACACGTGAAAGACCCCTAAGGTGTGAATTTGGGGGATTTTTAGTAACATTCCCCTGCTCAGTCCTCTTTACTGCTATTGAAAGTGTATAGGGCCTGGGCTGATTGGGGAAGTAGGGATAGGTAAGGGGACAGTTTAGGGATAGAAATAGCATAGCATCTCGGAAGTCACCAGTGTCCCTCTCCATGGTCCTTCAGGTCTTCTCACGCTTAAAAGCACTGCCTGAACATCTCACATTGTTTACTTGTTTGACATCAGAGATGTAAACAGGGCCCTCTCCTGCAGCTCTGACTTGCCCCAGTTTGCTGGGAGACCTCTTAGCTGGTTGAGAAAGTGGTGCCTGGGCTATTTTTTCTTAAGCTTTTACAGCCCCTCTGTCTAACAGTTAGCTCCTGTGGTCTGTTACATGGGAAACACAGGTCCTAGAAAATCAGAGTCTTTTGGTTATTTTCACTGTTCCTGGTGATTACATTGAAGAACTCAACAGATTGTCAGAGACAGTGCAAGCAGATAGGTCTGACATTGAAACTTCCTCAACTCGCTCCTGACATGGCTACATGCTGAGCAAAGGGAGCTGAAACTTCCAGTAGCTCCTGGGGCTTATCATCCTAGAACCCAAGGTCATGTCAGGACCTACCTGGATCCCCAGATCCTCTCCCTGCCCCTTCAAGCCATTTAGTCACACTAATCAGAGGGTCATTTTGCTTCATGCATATGAAGTGGGCCAGGACAAAGGTTTGATGACAAAGATTGGAGCATTGGTGATTGATGGGCCTCTAGCTCAGGTGTTGCATGTTCTCCTCCAGCTAGACCTCTCTAGTTCTGTCTCAGGAGCTCACCACTGGCCTCAGCTGCACTGCTCTCCTAGCCCTGTGGTGGTATGTGTGCTGTCTCCCTCGTCCCCACCAAACTGTCCCCCCAGCCAACTGCGGGACTAGCTGGATTTTCCCCACAGTGACCTGCAAGATCCGCTGTGCTGAAAGAAGGCTCTGAGCTACACTGAGACATCTGTGCTTCCTCCATGGCCTGGATGTGTTAGCCTGCTACCCTTGACCCCAAAGCTGTGCAATGTCAATGATTCACACATGAAGCCCCAAGTTTTGGAAACCCTTGGTGTTCATAACTGGCTTTTTTCTTTCTGTGCTTCATTTGAAGGCTGACGATACCTACCTCCAGCTGAAGAAGGACCTGGAGTACTTGGACCTAAAGGTGAGGGACGTCAGGTGTCTTGTCTCCCTTGGACTCTCACCTTTCTGAGCATGTCTGCCTTATTGGAGCCAAGCTCAAAGCCAAAGGCTGTGCAGGTCTTATCAAATCTGGATCCCAAATGAATACATCTCTAAGTCAGAAGAGTTTTATTTCTAACTGCCTCAAACTCTGGGCTCAGTTCCTTGTGAGTTCTGCTATAAGATTTCAAGCTGATGGAATGAGGGCACAAGATCTTGATCTCTTCCTGTCCTTGGTCAGGACCCAAAGACTTCTAAATAGTAACTACTTCCTTCCTCAGAGCTGCCAGTGGGGTTGGGTTTGGTTCGTAGGGTGCCACTGACATGTGTTTTCTGCTACGAGTATTTTGGTGGATTTTTTGGTTTTGTTGCTGGGGGAGCAGGTTCCACATGGAATTCTGCAGCTCTGGGGCCCACCGTGGTCTCCCATATAGGAGCCTCCTGTATGGATAGTCTCCCATCTGCGTACAGGAGATGAACGCTGGGTACCTCCCTGTAGGTGATAAAGCTTCAGGCTCAAAATCAACCTTCAGAGCACAGAGACCAAGAGAACACTGGTGGAGAAGTGTGAGAGGCATTCTGCGTGAAAGAGAGCTGCTATTGTTCCCTTACCACAGCTCTCTGAAAGCTCCCACTGTGAAGAGCACTTCTGATGCCTCAACCATGAAATTGACTGAAGGAATGTGACCTTTAATTAACTGTGCGCGTGAGAGAGTGGAGGGGCCTGTGGGAGGACACCCAGGCGACTGCCACGGGGTGTGCCTCCCCCAGCTCCCCTGGGTACCTGGCTTGAGGTATTTTTAACATGGGGATTGTCATCCAGCCTTGTAGAAGCAAGAGGATGAACCTTAGGCCCTGCGGCAGCAGATGGTGGGGGGGGCCTCCCCATACTGAGACAAGATCAGAGTCTTTGATTAGGAATCAACTAGTTAGCTTCCGTATCTGATGTGCACTTGCTGTGTAACCAGCTCTGGAGAAGCCTAAGGGACATGTAAGAGAACTTCCCAAATGGGCCTCGGTTAGATAAAGAAAATCTCCCAAAATAACACAGACTTGTTTATAATGAGCTTACAAAGATCTGTCTCGCCTAATGCTCAGAGTTGAGATAGTGAAGGTCACCGTGGGCTGTAATGCTGGAAAGGCCTCTAGAGGAGGTGGCATGTGTTTGGAGCCTTGAAGAGCCAGAGGGTTTGCGTTGGTTGAAATTAAAGGGAAGGGAACAGTGGGAACCAAGGAGAGCCAGGGGGAGGGTGGTGTGGCTAGGGTGGAGGAGGCAGACTGCCCATGTTCCTGATTCTTTAGGAAGGAGGGGTGCAGTGAACGAAAGTCAGACTTGGTTTTCTGACATGAGCAAAACAAGGAGGGTTCTTTCAAAACCAGGACATTTTCTAGCTTATGTGACAGATCACACAGAGCATGAATAAGTATTATAAGTATGGTAGTAATGCCTCACGATGCAAAATGTGCGGCCCAGCCCATCCTGCTGTGCTCTGATCCTGGGCAGGGTCCTTTCACCATGCTCACCACCCCCACCTGACCTGGAAAGAGGTCCACCACCTTTGCCGGCCCTGTGTTACCACTCATCTCCATTCCCTGGCCTCCGCAATAGCCAGTCACCATGCTAGCTCTCGATTCTTCTCACCCCTGCCTCGGAGCCATGCAGTCAACCAGAAGTATTTATGGAACATTCATGGTAAGAGAGCTGGTAAGAGAGGTTTAGCTCCCCAGCAGCACAGGTGTACCTTGAAACAGTCCTCAGAGTGCTTGGTGCATGGTGCAAGAGAGAGCTTAGAGAGCCTGAGCTGGAGTAATAGGAAATCTCTGTCTTCTGATTCCTGTTTGTATGGGAGAGGAGAAACTCACAGCTGATCCTCGAGGGAAGATTCAGTTCAGGTCTGTTTTATTTCAAGATCATAGAATTTGAGTTAAAAGGGATTTAAAGGGAGAAACTGAGGCACAGGATAGCAGAGCCAGGAGTCCTTGGGTGTCCTGACTACCAACAAAAGCTTAGTAACAATAGAGGGTATAATGTGTGATGGTCACTGTGTTTTACTTCTGTTAAATTATGTAACTCCCACAGTAGCCCTAGAAGGAAGATGGTGTTATCTTTTTTTCACTGACTAAGGCTCAGAGAAGTAAATGACTTTCCCAAGGCCACATAATGGCTACTGGGAAGTTGGTATTTCGGTATAGCTCTGACTCTGAAACTTGTGCTCTTGAGTTGTCTTGCCTCCCAGTCTCTCTTAAAATTCTGCTTCCACTACTGTGGACCCAAAGGCATTTCAGTTTTTGATGGAACTGAACTGGGGTCATTATCCCAGGAAGTGTGTTTAATGTGATAGAGGCAAGGTGCGTCCTTGGGGTGTTTCACTAGCTAGGAGCTGTCTGCACCCAGAACATTAACTAGTGACTTTCTGGAAGTTGTCACTGTCATGGAAAACAGCTGCATTGATACCAGAGTTTCCCCAGTCTTATTTTTGTTATTCCAGTTGCTGAGCTCCTCTCAGAGAACTTTTCCCCCAAATGAGCTGCACTGGTAGCAGGGAGATGCTGGGGTTTGTGCTGTGTGTGAGTTTTCTGTCTGGCGTGGCTGCCAGAAAGGTTGGCACCACCTTGGCCTCTCTCCAAGGTACAGAGTCCCCATATCAGGGAGGCAGTGAACCTGCTCTGCTCTGCTCAAACCCAGCTGGGGCATAGGGTTCCCAGATGGTGTCTCACTTCAGGACCCAGATGAAGAAAGGACTGGAAGCAAAGCAGAGGTGTTGAGGACCTATAGAACCATGGCTGAGGATGTATTAGGCAGGATGCTTTTGTTTGCAGGTGTCTGAAACCCAAATCAACCTGCTAATAAGCCAAAGAGAGAATATACTGCTTCTTTTAGCCAAGGGCTACATCCCAGAGGCTCAGGCCATGTCATCACTGTTCTGGTTTTCCTGGTGTGTGGGCTGTGCCCACATGGCAGGGAAGGTGGCCACCTGCAAACCCAGGTTCACTTTCTCCCAGCCCAGCGTCCCCATGGGTGACCACTTGCAAACCCAGACTCCCTGTGGCGTGAGGGAGGGGTTCCCTAATGGGAAAGCATGCTGGGCAGAAATAAGAAAGTCAGCAGCAGTTAGCACAGCTGCACTGCAGAGTGGTGGAGAGAGTTTTGGGTAATTCAGGAGACAGAGACAGTCTACAAAGCTCTGAAATGCTACCATGTGTCTTCTGTAGCTGCAAGGGGGAATGAAGACAAATGGAGAGCATGTGTCAACTGTACTTCAATTAAAAAAAAAAGACAAGTGGATAGCAGCTACAGGTAGAGGGGTTTCTAAAAGGGCCTGCTCAGGTTGTGGTGAACCGCCCCATCTCTGGGGTGCAAATGAAGCTAGATGAGCCCCGCGGGGCAAGCAGGGTACATGACTGTGTCAGGAAAACCCCAAGGCCCGTTGACTCCTGAGATTGCGACACGCTCAACAAAATGAGCTGATGCGGAGCTCAGCCTGGGTCCCTGAGGTGAGGGCCTCTGTGGACACAGCTGAATGGGCCCTGAAGCCCAGCTGGGGTGTGCGGATACTGGTGACACAGCCCCACCATGCCCAGCTGCTTGTGAGAGGTTCCTCTGGGTTCTTGGGGCGGGGAGAGGAAGGAGGGAAGCCTCGCTGGAGAAAAACAGCCTCCCTACCCCAGCTGGGTGGCCTAGGCACCCCTATGTCCGTGTTCCAAAGGCCACAGACTTAAGGATCCAAACCCTCCCCTCACCACCACCATCACCACCACCACCACCAGTCAGCCGATGCTCAGCTTCCAGAATCAGTTGGTGGTGTTTGCTTCCCCACATGTGGTGGGAACTTTTCCCTAACGTGAGCCTTTCTGTTGTGGTGCCAAGTGCTCAAACAAAGGTGTACTGCATTCTCTTAGAAGACACTGTGGATTAATGTTCTTTTTGCACAGTGTTTACTTGTCTGTCATTTTACTTGGTGGTGCCAGGATGGGAAGGGCTCCACCTTGATGAAGCTTCTGTTCCTGCCTGGTGGTGTTTGGGTGCACGTTATTCATTATTGCACTTGGTCTTCTCAGCATCTTCGGGCAATAGAAATGATTCTCCCCACCTTCCTAAGCAGGAATCCAAGTATCAAGAGAGGTCCCTTCCACGAGTGATAGGTGTGGAATTTAAACCCAGGGTCTAACTGTACTCCTGCCTCCTTTCTTTCATGTACCATGTACTTCCCACCCTAAAGCTTAGTCACTGAATTGTGTTTCTGGCATCATGGTTCTGCTCTTCAGAACCATATACTGTGGGGGCGCCTGGGTGGCTCAGTCGTTAAGCGCCTGCCTTCGGCTCAGGTCATGATCCCAGGGTCCTGGGATGGAGCCCCACATCGGGCACCCTGCTCGGCGGGAAGCCTGCTTCTCCCTCTCCCAATCCCCCTTCTTGTGTTCCCTCTCTCACTGTGTCTCTGTCAAATAAAAAAAAAAAAAACTTTTAAAAAAAAAAAAACGTATACCATGGCTAGGTCGGAAGAAGTGGGTGTGGGGGTCACTGTCGTTGACAGCTTAGATTGCTTTTATGCACCTGTGAAGCACAGCTGGGAAGGGGAGTTGGGGGAAGGATATGTGCCGCTGTGCGGGTGGTGCCTTTATAGGTAGAGCAGGTTGCAGCCAACCCCACAGAGGGTGTTGTTCCTGGATTGAGGGATATGTCACCAGGGGCTCTGGTCACTTGGCCTCTGGTGGCTTCCTGACTGAGCCTGAGATCAGGGCTGCTCTGTGCGGGGTCTGTTTCCAAAGTTAGCTTCTAGGGCCAAGTTTCTTAAGTTGTGGTCTAGGATACCATCTATTTCAAGATCATCTGGGAGCTTGATTTTTTTAAAGTACAGATTCAGGGGGTTCTGTTAAATTAGAACCTCTGGAAATGGTGCCCAGAATTCTGCTTTTTTGTGTTTGTTTTTTAATCAAGCTCTAGGATGATTCTTGTGCAAAAAGAAGTTTGAGATCGGTTGT